TCTAGGTCTACCTGCCTTTCTTAACATAAGTTGAATCTAAAACATCTATTCTTTTAACTAGATCATGGGATGGTGGACTTTTAACATGACCAAACCTTCTAAGACGATTCTCTAATTTTGTCCAACATTGGACCTATACCAATCCTATCACAAATATATTCATTTCAAATTTTGTCTCTAAGTGTCAAGCCGCTCATCCACCCAAGCATTCTCATTTCGACAACACTTAACTTTGTTTTATCCTTCTTTTTTAACAGCTAACATTTTGCATTATAGAGCATTGCATTTCTCACCACCATTTTATAAAATTTTCCTTTCAGTCTAAGTGACACTTTTATATCACACAATAGGCCCGATGCATTCCTCCACTTCAAGGAACCAAATTGAATTCTCCCAATAACTTCCCCATTTATTTCACCGTTACCTTGAAAAATAGATCAGAGATAATTAAAACATTCACACCTTTTTAATGATTTGATTACCCATAGTTACAACTTTGCCAGTAGTATATTACATGTATTCAATTTTAGTTCTACTCAAACGAAGACCTTTAATCTCCAATGTAGACCTCTATAACTCAAGTTTTTATTGAATTCTTTCTCTAGTCATATACACAAGAAGAATATTATCAACGATAAGCATACACCGAGCTACAACATACAACAAGTTACATTCTCCTGTAAATATCGAGTAAGAGCATCCACAACTAAAACAAAAAGATATGAACTTAAAGCCTATCCCTAATGTAATCCAATGAAAATAGGAAAATATTGGGTTAATGCTTCTGTTTGAACACAAGTAATAACTTTAGTATACATATCCTTAATGACTTGAATATAAGTCATATCAACACTTTTTTTCTCTAAAACTCTCCAAAGATTTTTCTTGGAATTTTATCAAAAGCTTTTCCTAAATCAATAAAAATCATATATAGATCATTTTTATTCTCTATGTACTTCTCCATCAAACCTCTCATTAAATGTGTAGCTTAACTAATAAACTTGCCTTACATAAATCGAAAAAAATTATGAGAAATCTTTGTAACACATATTAACATATTATCTCACACAAAAGTGTGTATTTCATTTTTTAAAAGTTACAAAGTCATCGACTCTTCTTTGAATTCCTAAGCCTTGACAAGGTATATTGGTTAGGAACTTGAGAGATACCAATTGTTTGAACCATAAATATGAGCGAAACACCTTTTATCTATAATATCACACACATCTCAAGGAAGGAAAATTGGAGAATGTGATTCTTGAGGTTATCCATACCATAAAAAATATTGATGTGAGATTTCATAAGAACGAGAAAATATTAAGTCCGAATAGTCAGAAGCGTGGGGGACGACAAGGATTGCACCACGTCATGTACACAATAGCTTGGTGCGATATACGTTGTCGTCTGCGTGTCCGAACGACGAACATAAATATTTTCTTGTGCTTCATTCATGAAGAAATCTCATAAATAGGGAAGTCAATACATTCATTTTTTTCTTTAGCTAAATATTATGAAACCACGGACTAAGGATGGAACCAACCTCTTTTTTTAGGGGGGCAAACTACCCCTAAACTGAATTTGGGAGGGGTTGGAGCAATGAAGAACAAAGTGATATTTTAGGAGGGGCAAAATGGATATTTTAGAAGGGGCAAATCGCCATATTGCCCTCTAATATAAGTAAAAATCTTAATTTTTTTTGTGTGTTGTGGGGGGGCCAACACTATGGTGAAGTTGTAGGAATTCTTGAATGGCATGATGCAATGCAATCTAAACTCAGTGCATTAGAAGCTACTCATACCTAGATCATTTTTTATTTTCCCCACAATGAATGGCCCATAGGGTAAAAATAAATTTATAGACTCGAATATAATACTAAGTGTCCATAAATAGACATGCATGTCTTGTTGTTAAAGGCAATAGCCCATAGGAAGAGGTAGATTTCTTAGAAAAGTAATCCTGTATTGCTAAAGTGATTATCATTAAATTATCTACAAATCATTATTGTACATTGATTCAAATCCTTTTTAAATGGATATTTTTTGAAAACGTTTACATGAATTGATATTTTAGAAGAGGCAAATTACCAAATTGTTCTCTAATATAAGTAAAAATCTTAAATTTGCCAGTGGAATCTCTCTCCCTGTGGACGTAAGTGAATCAATTCAACACAAAATCATGTAAATCTTTGTGTTTGATTATTGTTGTGTGAATTTCTACGCTTCCGCTTTACTTTTGCATAGCAAATTATTTACAACACATCTTGAGGGAGGAGTATCCGAGGACACATTAATTTTAAGCTATGCCCAAGTTTATCAGCAGTTACCTATCTCGAGGCTTTTCTAATAGGTTGAATATAATTAGATATGTAAATATACCATTGCACTAGATCATGAAACATTTTTATTAATTTAAATGTTAAATGAAGTAAGTTTAAATATAATTCAACCATTTATGTGCACAAACTAACTCTTTTATAGTTTAATAAATAACTTAAAAATATATATATATATATATATAGACACACATAATTTTTATGTATTTACATATTTCAAACCCAAACTTTCATTTTTACCTACACAACAACAAACCATGTGAGAGCTTAATGCGAACATAAATAAATAATAATACGATCAAATCAAGTCCAATACACGACGAAAAATAGTCCGCTCCACTCGGTAGAAATACAAGAGATAGAATAAGTAAGAGGTAGAATCAAAATTTTCCAATTAAGGTTTTAAATATTTTGTTAAAACAAAATCAAAATTTACCTTAAATTTATGGTTGAAAATAACAATTTATGGGTCTACCCCTACATAAATGCTTCTTCTCCTTCCAAGTTACTTACGAGACGTGATCTCTGTATTTGGATGCAATTAAGCATCTTCTAGAACTGTTTTTTTCCACTTAAACCATCTACAAATTCAAAATTTATACGTTATCCCCATTCCAATATTTCAGCTCCATCTGCTTAATGGTCTATCACTTGTAACCCTGACGTTAAAATCAATGCATCAAAGCATGTATTTAGCTTTTAAGTGTATTTAGCTATATATGTATTTAGTTATATATATATATATAACATTCAAATCTTTAACATCGCATCAAAATTATCATTATCACTAATTCTTAAGAAAAAAAAAACTTTTTCATACAAGCTTTTAATACTAAGATGTTATAAATGTTATTAAATATATAACTTTGGTATTAGGTATGTAAATATATAAGATATATGTGGTACGAACGTAGATTTGCCAAATAAAAAATGAAGGAAAACAACAGTTTTTTTAAGATTCTTGATTGTAGTTGAGTAATGATTTAACATCTTAACATTGTATTGGGATCCAACACGTACAAATAAAAGAAACATAGTAGAAGAAAACAATATAGACTTTTACTTAGAAAACCCTGACAAGGAAAAAAAATTCACGAGGTCTAGCCCTGTTAAAGTAATTCATTATGTGATTGTAGGTGCAAATGTTCACTCTTCTCTTGAATTAGAGAAGATGGAACTGCAAAGTTAATCATCATATACGTACAACAATATTTCATCGATAATAGCCACAATTAGGCAGTAGTTTTTGGCGACTAGAGCGATAGCTATCTGTAAAGGCCATAGTTGATTGCTATGAACGCAATAGTCAACCACAAATATTGTAGACTTTGGTTGCAATAGCTCCAGCTTTTTATAGAGACTATAGTTGAAAGTCGTAGCAGTATTTGACCACATAAGTCATAGTTGATAGCATTAGGAGCATCAATTGGCCACACAAGCCGTAGTAGAAAATCATAATTACAGTAGTTGGCTATGTAGGCCGTAGTTAGGAGCTATAGTAGCGTCAATTAGCCACCAAGATTGTAGTTGGAAGCCAAAACAAAATTGGCCACATAGGTCATAATTGATAACTTCATGAGCGTCAGTTGGCCACAAAGACCATAGTGGGAAGCTATAATTACAGTAGTAGTTGGATATATAGGTTGTGGTGAGGTGCTGCAATAACATAGTTTGTTGTGAAAGCCATAGTTGGTGGGTGTTACAATAGTAGTTTGTTCAACATATGCATTCTTGTTGATATACGACATAAGAAGAGAACATCAAGAGTATGGAGAATTTCATCAAATTCGAAATACAACGATTGTTACAGGGAGTTATCGTCAAAACTTTGATACATCGCCTTCAGGGTATGCTATTGCACAGTACAGTGCCGCTCCGTAAGGGGCTTTGTTACTCCACAATGTACGCCGTTAATTCGTAGTGTATGTTGTTACTCTGCCCGAGACTTCATTACAAAATGCCCTGTTACTCCGTAAGGGGCTTTTGTTACTCCGCATTGTACGTCGTTACTCCGTACGGTCCACCAACGGTGATGAGCAGGGAGCAACTGATGTTGGTTGACATTGGCTGGCAAGCGGCGGTTGACGGTGGTCGGCAGATACGAGAAGGGTCGCCAAGTCTTTATATTTAGAACAATTCTCCAATTTGACTCTTCTTCCTCTTTCTCCAGGATTATGTCAAGTTTTTCCTCGGATCCGAAGGGAGTATGACTCTATTTATAGATTAGGAATGCAAAAACTGTATTATATTTTAAGAAATATTCTGAAAAGATGAGACGATTAATTAAAATAAGGAAGATTTACATACATTCCACTCAATTCTTAAGTGTTTAGATATCAAACATTCAAATTTTAATTTTTTACATATTTGCATGTCATGAAAAGCTGTATTTGAAACTTCTGACATTTTTTTTTTTATGCGATATAAAGATTTGGGTGGTATAAATGTAAAATAATAAAATTGTGATATATAAATACATGGGATTGCATGGTATGCACGTAAATTCCCCTGAATAAAAGCAACGAAATCCGCCAACAACCACACATGTAACTCATGCATCTATTGGCAATTAAGAATCCACATAGATCCTTCTAATTTCTTTAATGCCCACCACATATTTTATAAATAAACCAATGAAAATCCACAAATTGCTTCCTTTTCCCATTCCCTCCCCTCACTTCTCCTCTCTCCGTTCAGTCAATCTTCTCTTTCACTAACCTTCCGCCCACCTTCCTTCCCATTCCCCTATAAACCTCTCCTCCCCTCACCTCAACCAACTTGAAAGGACCAGCAAGCAGCCATGGAAGTAGCCATGCCGCCGACTCCAACTTCACCGGACTTTCACTTCGGCATCTCCGCCACCGCCCCATCAAGTCCTCGCCGTTTCGGCGAACCCTTCAACCACTCCTTCCATTACACCAGCGCTCCCACCAGCCCAAACCGTGCCGCCTCCATCTTCTCCACTTTCTCCACCTACCATGACAACGAATTCGCCTTCGATTCTGGCCGGCTCTCCGCCACCAACCCATTGCCGGAAATCTCTACCGCCGACGAACTTTTCGACAACGGAAGAATCCGTCCCCTCCATCTTTCTCCTCTCCCAGCCGAGAGGGGTAGGAAAAGAGGCTCTTTTATTAGTACCACTGCATATGAAAACAGAGCCAGAGTTTCTAGATCTCTTTCTCCGTTAAGAGATCAGAACCAAGCTGAAGCTTCAACTCTCCTCCCGAAGAGCGATAGCGGAGGCAGGAAATGGCGGCTGATGGATTTGCTTCTGTTCCGAAGCGCGTCGGAGGGAAGAGCGACGGGAAGAGAAAGCAGAGATCCGTTACGCAATCGTACTCTGTTTTCTTCATTATTCTCTTCCAATGGATCTTCTTCTTCATCATCAGCCGCAAATGGCAAAAGAGGAGGAAAAGAAGAAAGCGTTAATGGTGCGGGGGTGAGAAGAGGCGGCCGGCGGCAGGTGGCTTCTGCCCATGAGAAGCATTATACGGCGAACAGAGTGGCGGCGGAGGGACAGAGAAAGAAGACGCCATTGCCTTATCAAAGACAGGGTTTTTTCGGTTTTATTCAGTACAATCCAGCGATCCGCAGCATCACCGAAGGATTCGGTGGGAATTGTTCCAGGCCATGATTTATAGAAAATATACAGCAAAATGTTCATTTTATTTTATGGATTTGTTTGAATTGTATTGTTTTGATAGGATACAATACAATCAATTCGTTGTTTTGTTTACTTTTCAAGCTAAAGATCGTAAATAACAATTTACAGAGGTTTCCTGTATTCGTCGTTTGGTGTTTTAATCATTTTCTCTTCCTTCATTTTGAAAATTGGAAAAGAAGCAGATTTGTTGAATCCTGATCTCTTCGTGAATCACACCGAATTGGTTAGAGCGTAAGATGCTAGAAGGGAGATGAACAGAAGCCTCTTGTCTTTCCCATAAAGTAATCATATGTTTACAGGGGATAGGGTATGTTAAATAAAGTTACATCTTTACACTTGCTTTAATGAAAGCATTACCTGTATGTGCCTATGGACCGACTATCTTCTGGCTTGATCGGTTAGTCTTGGACGGCCTCAATTCGGTAGGGTCTGCTTGGTTGGCTGTTTTGAGTTGAGGTTCACTGCCAACATTTGGTTTTATGGTCGGCGGGACTGACTCATATGATTAGACTTTATCGATCCTATAATCTAGTTTGATCGTCGACTGCCAGCCCTGGTATAGAGCTCTTGTTGCTCATGTGATGCTAGGCTATAGAGCAGGTGGTCAATCGCTGTAACTAGATAGAAAGTTCACTTCTCAATAAAAAGAGCCAGAGGGATTAATAAGATTTATTGTGAATTGTTTATCTATAAATCCCTGATAAGAAGGCTCTGGGCGTATATGGGATGATTGAAGGAACTAAAGAACCGAGTCTTTCCTCGAGTCTCATTTACCAAAAGGTTGATTGCCAGCTTCCATGGACTTTCTTATGATGTGGTTGTCTTGTGTGTCAATCTATCCTATCGGGCCTGTATCATCTTTGACACTTTTAGTCTTGCGGACTCTGATTCATACGAATGCATTCAGTCAGTTTTGGCCTTGGCTTTGGCTTGTATTGATGCGTTCGATTAGATAAAAGTGGGGAGTCCTCTCTAGTTGTACTTTTTTGCCTTTCAAGCTGTTAGATCTCCTCGAGCTAAGTATCAACATCATTCCTGATGTACGAGAATGAATTTCAAATTCCTTTTTTTAAGGCCACATAATATATGATAGTTTACAATATATTAATTTCAAAATAAAATTAAGAATTTTTAGATTTATCTGATTATGTTTTGTAAAAATTTTGTATAGAAAATTGTCGTTTGCAAGTTGTCTTTTACGTATGGCTAACGAATACTGTAAGCTGACTTTTGTCTCTGCTTTGAACTATCTATTTGTGGCATGTGACCATTTTTTTTCCTTAATTTAATGGTTCGCCCATTACAAAAAAAAACAAAAATCGGACATTTACATACCTACCACAAAATTCTAATGTATTTACATCTCTAACACCTAAATATTCATATTTTGCATGCACCCACTCAAATCTTTAACATTACTTAAAAAAAAATTATCATTATAATTAACTTTTAAATCATCATTTTTTAAAAAAAGTTAAATACTTGGTGCGTGATAGAAAATTCGTAGTGGTAGAGTAACGGACAATCGTCTTAGCATTGTACGAAAGTTCAGCACACACAGATGAAAGATAAACAAACGGTGATGACTCCAAAAATTTTTACACGAAAAACCCGTGTCGTATGATGAAAATTTGTTGGTGACGTATCAATTAGGAATATTTTATACTAATTTGATTTTAAAAAAAAAAAGTTGAAGCCAACATATTTCTTTGATTTACTTTTTGACTTCATATTCCCGATAAAAATCAGTTGATATAATTTATTTATGACGATAAAATTATAAGGATAAATCGTATTTATTATTAATATTTATATTAATGTGTATTGCTAAGACAGCGGCAAGAAGGGATGGCGGCCAGCGTGGGGTCCATCACTCGATCCAACCCACATGGGCGGTTACTTTTTGTTTGGCCTTTACGTGCGGTATCGCACGTGTTGGATGCACGGCAAATCATTCGCCTTTCTTTGACTTCAATTAGTAACCAGTCGCCGCTTTCAAACTCAACAATCCTTTTCTGTCAAATTAATTATTTCGATAATTATATGAATATATTTAGTGGATTTTTGCCCCCCCCTAAAGTTACACAAATTTATCTGACTAATTTCGATAATTTAATTTTTCTTTTTTCTAGTAAGTAACTGATGATCTGTTTGAGACAGCTACAACTTATACTAATGTTTAATTAATATATTATTTGTAATGTATAGATCAACTCATATTTAAATAGGGATGAATATTTTTTTATGAGAATATAATGTGGAAGCATAGAAATTCACACAACAACAGTCAAACATAAAAGATTTACGTGGAGTTGACCTATTACGCTTATATCCATAGAGAGCGAGATTCCATTAGCACTAGATGGGAGGAAAAAAAATGGTTCGGAATTACAACTGAAATTCCTCCCCATATTCATCTCTCATGAACTGTAAGTCTCTTTCGTAGAGGAGGATTATGACATACAAGTAAATAAAAACAAAAGACAAAAAAATACCCATAATTACAAAAAAAAAATAATGTCATAAATAGAACACACTGCTGAGAGAGATTGATCCTGAGATATTGCAGAACACTTGTATTCTTCAATTTTGTTTCTCAATTCTCGGTGCTCTAACACTCTTTATCATTCAAACTTTTTTCTTAAGTGTGCAAATTATGAATTTTAGGCTGATGAAGTTGTCGTGTGAATGAATTGTTTTATATTTTTTGAGTCATGCCATGCTCCCATCTAGTATAAGATTATCATCAAAGTTATTGTGTAAATTACTGTCTGTCAAGCTTGGAAGTAGTTTGGTTTGAAAAAAAAAAAAATTTATTAGAAATGATACGAGCATTGTTAACAAGCAAAATGAATAATAATATTATTAGTTGACTAATTAGAATAGTTAGTTTAACTCACCTACTAATCATCTTAATTAAAGCTTATAAGAAGTTTTATTAAATTAATATCAAAATAATTAAGAAATATTTCATATCATTAAACATTTTATTAAGGAACGTTTTCGACTAACTACAATATTTTATTTAGACATAATTCATGATAATTAAGTAATCCCTTATTAAGAGGCCCAAGGATCTCAATTTATGAACTGCTATCCTAATTAACCTAATTTAATAATCTTCTCCTAATTAAAGTGATTAATTTTTATAATAATCAATCTATGCCTAATAAAATTAATATATTATCTGTCAAAAATCAAACAGTTAGCCAAACCACAACAGACGGCCCAAACGCTAAACACCAAGAAGTCGCAAAGCAATTTTTCCACCACGGAAAGGAGCTAAAATCGCGGCAAAATTGAGCTGATAAATTGACATCAATTAAGCTGGCAATGGCTGCCCTTTGCATCACACTCGCAGCAGATCTATGCTTTCCTCATTAAAATGATGGATACAACTCCCACGTGGATGTGGATGTGGATGTTTGATTTGAAAGAAAAAATAAATTAAGGGGAAGTCATAAGAATGTAATTGAGCGTTAGAAAGCAATCAACAAGAATCTCGAAAGAGCATAGACCTCATTAAGAAGAGGACCGAAGGGTCCCGCTGATCAGCCATAGCCCCCTCACAATAGGATTTGGATCAACAGAACCAAAGCCATCCAAGCTAACCGAGGGAAAGAACCAGTCTAACTCTTGTCAGAGTATCACCAGACGCTTCACAAGAGCCTCAAAGGCTCTTCAGGAGTCCCAAGGATCTCATCACTGAACATTTATCGAATCTTTTAGACTGACCTCTTTTCAAAAGGAGTAGACTACCTGTCAAATAATGATGATTCACTATGCCTGATAACCCAGTTCTATCATAAAAACATGAGTTTCTCATTCAAGCTTCAACAATCGACAGCCGATCGAGACAACCAACCGACTAGCTCAATTTGACCGAACAAAGTTCGGACAACCGAGCGAAATCCGAACCACCGAAGAACTATCAAGGCTGGCTGATTGCCCTAAGTCAACAGAGCCGACTGAATGTACTAAGCCGACCAAAGAACAACAGGTCCTCTCTTATCGAAAGATGGGGTAGCCAAACAATGGTCTCTTTTTTTTTTCTATATATCCAAAATATCCTCTAAAACTCATATAAAAGTGGGAGTTCATAGGGTTCACATGTAATTTTCACGTAATCTTCTATTGCCTATAAATAGAATGCCATTTTTATAGTAAAGAATTAATTCTATCATGTACTCTTTCTTATTTTATGCTCTATTGCTTAGATGTGATTCATATTAACAGATTTGAATTTACCAGCAACTTAAAATATACATAAGATATTATTTTTGTATATTTGATTTGAAGAAACAAAATCAATATCAAGCCATAAAGTAGAGGCGGCCAATGCTAGCTAGTGGCGGCTACCACTCGATCCATTTGGTCTGTGTCAGCAATGACGTAGTTGGAATTTCTAAAAATTCCCTCTGGCTTTGGCTTGGGGTTGAGGATAAGTGTTTTAAATTTTCTTATTAGAATTTATTAGTATAATAAGATTAAATATATGATAATTTATGATGTCTAGTCATTAATGTTAAGCTATGTTTTAATTACTTGAAAATATAAAACTACTACGGGTCTGTTTGGGGCAACTGCAGCTTATTGAATAATCTGCTGATAAGCTAGATGCGATCCTATTGTAAATTTTTATTTTTTTGGAAAAATCAGACTACTGACAGAAAGCTGTCACCACATCTAGATAGGTGCAGTCTGAAAATGCTGTTTTCAGCATTTTCAAAACACAGTTTACCCAAACAAGTTAGGTGTATTTTCAAAACTCTACCACACCAAATAAGCTACCTCAAACAGGCCCTACGTCTCAATTAGCATATTCGAACAAACAACTCATACAGTCAAACTCTGAATTAACAATTTTTTCTTAGTTGAAGAACACTAATTAGTTGAGGTCCAAAAAATTTAAATTTAATGTACCAAAAATGGTGAAATTTGTTTTAATTGGTTAATTTATATCTTTATGGTTGAATTAATATTTTCCAAAAATGTAAGTTTTGTTAGAAGAAAAAGAATGGAAGAATTTAAAAATGTTAATAACAATGAATATATATAATTAATCAAAAATTTAAATTTACGTGTTTAAATTAAACTTAATTTGATTAAAATTTAATTTTATCTAAACTTTGATTAGAGAATTGCAATTAAGTTTTGTTTTCTTTGGAAATAAAGATTAAAAAAAACATTTTCATTCTGTTTTCTCTCTCTTTCCAGCTAGCTTCTTACTATATGAGGCAATTACATACATAGCAATATTTCAAATAATATAAATATAATCGTCCTATACATTTTTGGTTAAATTTATGCATAGATAGATGATGAATCTCTCTATCTAATGCTACACTTTAAGATTTCAAGATTTGTGAATGTTCAATAAGAAACTAATTTTATGTTGGATAAAGTTATGATCACTATTAAACAAATAACAAAAGATGTACTTGAAGAGTAAAAAAGAAAAGTACTTATAAATAGAAATAGGTGATGACTGAATAATAAGGTGCAAGAAAGAATAACATATAAAAAGTTGTGTTATAAAATTTGCTTGAATATAAATGCTTAGAGAATTGGGAAAAATGAAAGGTGGCCCGTAGGGGAGTCTAAGAGAATAATTTACGATTGCAAAAATTCTAATTTTAGTGATCTTTTTAATAAATTAGATACTAAAGATGATGTAAAATATATGAAAAGTTAAAATATAAGAAGTTCTGTTATAAAAAATGACATAAGCGTAAAAGCTTAGAGAATTGGGAAAAATATAAGGTGATACATAAAGAGTCTAAAAAAATAATTTACAATGTCAAGAATTTTACTTTTACCAATTTTTATAATATATTAGATATTAAAGATTATAAAAAAAACATATGTACAAACTTTCCAAACAAAGAGAGAAGAAAAATAAAAAAAATTTAATTCAAGTAAAGTGTATTAAAGATGAAAATCAAAAAGTGTTTTATTTAGAGGAAGATATTCATCATAAGTGGATGAGCTATTTTGATAAAATTTTCAATAAAGTTTTTAAAAGTACGATCGACTTTAGTGATCTTAAAATTCATAATATTAAAAAAAACTCTTTATTTTTACCGTCACATTAGTGAAAAGGACGCTGAGAAGGCTTTAAAAAAATGAATGGTGGAAAATCAGTAAGGCCTGATGAAATTTCAATTAAAGTGTGGAATATCTAAGAGATTTAGGAGTTTCTTAGTTTACTAAGCTCATTAATATTATTTTAAAAACTTTAAAAATGTCCAAAGAGTGAATATTTTGGTCCTCTTTTTTGAAGAAAAAATGGGATGCAAATTATAGAGGAATTAAAACTGTCAATGAATTTTTACACTAAACATAGGCTGCGGGTCCACTCCCGCGGGCCGCGTTTTAGGATAAACAGCTTATCTTGAAACGCACAAGCTGCCCCAAACGGATTCTAAGTTGACGTTGTTCTGTAAAAATGAAGATGGGGAAGAGAATAAAGAAAAGAAATAAATTATATCAATTAAAATGGAATGAATTAATTTAAAACTACATCTAATCTCTTGGAGGCCGCTCAAAAATACTAACCGCTCCCACGTTCGCTCTCTAGTTACAAACAAACAGATCGATATAAATTAAGATCCCTTTTTGCTGAGACGCTAACACAGGTGGGTTTTGGGTTGTGGTATAGGCAGTGAAGGGAAAGTGCAGTTGTTTTGTGTGATTCATGCGTGACACAAGAAGTGTGACAGGTTTACAGGGATGACGCTGTGCAGGAATCGAAGGACTACAACACTGTAATTTTCAAGTCCTAAATTCCGAACAGGAAAAAAGCTTGCAGCTTAATACATCAAAGACGAAGCGGAGGATTTGCGTGATTAGGTAGAAGAAGAAGAACGACAAGCAAATATGGGTAAAAAATTTACCTTGTATGGAGTTGGAACAGGGGAAACAGTTCAGGCAAATTGAACATGTACGAGTAGTAGAGGAACAGAGATTTTTGGGAGAGACGAACGAGAAGCGAGAAAATGAACAAAACCGTGCCAATGCGGGAGGCTCTCTGATTTGTTTGTTTGTAACTAGAGGAGAAAATATTACATCCGTATTTCGGATGTAATTTACATTATGATGTGACATCACGTGTCAAGTGTGACCCATCGCAACATCGACATTGAACAGTATTAAAAGCGTTGGGGCACACTTGACACGCAACATCCCATCATTAGACTTCGGATGCATCTGAAGTCCACTTGTAATATTTTTTTCTAACTAGAGAGCGAACGTTAGAACAGTTAGTATCTTTGAGTGGGCTCCAAGTGGTGGGATTATATAGAGTTTTAAATTAATTGATGTCATTTTAATTGGTATAATTTATTTCTTTTCTTATTCTATCCCCCCTTTTCATTTTTACTCTTATACTTCAAAACTATGGGAGAGGATAATTGAACATATGTTAAAATGTGATATAAATATTTCTCATAATCAGTTTGGATTTATGTCGGCAAGTCTATCAAGAAAACTATACAATTTATTTAGAGGTTTGATAGAGAAGTACAAAGACAATAAGGAGGATCTACATATGATTTTATTGATTTAGAAAAAGCGTAAGAAAAGGTTCTTAGAGAAGATTTTTGAAGAGTTCTAGGAAAAAAAGGCGTTGACATGGCTTATATTTAAGTCATTTAAGGCATGCATATTAGAGTTGTTATTTGTCTTCGAACAAAAGGAGGATTGATCAAGTATTTTCATATTTCATTTAGAATTCAAGTTGGTTGATTGAAGTTAAGTAATGCATCACAATATTGTGTGATAGAAAAGTACCGCTTAAACTTAAGAAAATTTTTATAAAATGGTGGTGAAACCAACAATGTTTTATGGCGCAGATTGTCGGTCTTTAAAAAGAAACAAAAAGCAAAATTAAGTGTTGCTAAGATGAAAATACTTAGAAGGATGAGTGACTTAACATTATGAGACTCCAGTGATGAGCAAGATTAGAGTGAGTCATCTTGGTTTGGTCACATCAAAAATCGACCATCTGACATTCCGGTTAGCAGAGTAGTTGTTTTAAATTTGATTTATATTAAGCAAGGTATAGATAGATATAAAAAGATATGCTTGTCATAAAAAAAAAAGATCTTAATTTAATGTAATTGAATGAAAATGTCACTCAATAGGACACAATAGAGAAAAATAATCCATATAATCAAACCCACCTAATGGGATAAAGATTTATTATTGTTGTTGTAATAGTATAATCATTGGAAGGGAAGCAGTGATTGGGTGATAGTGCTAGAGGAGCCAAATGAGAGAGGCGACAGACAAGAGAGACGACCAACATATGTAGACAGTGATCAGTGATAATGGCTAGGGGCGACAATGATGATGACTTACATGTGAATAGTTTGTAAGGTATATATCTAAAATGATCAAATTAATCAAATTTTTTGAATCTACTAAAATTAACCTAAAAGATAAGTTTTATAATTTCATCAAAATTTTAAATTAGATTTCCTTTTCATCTGACTAAGCGCCGAAGATTTGAAAACCACCACATTTAAAGACGAAAGCATAGAACTGATATCACATTCAATGCCGGCCAATTTCACATTCAGAAAAAAAAGAATAACATAAAATGAAGAAGACAAGTTGATGCCAATCATCACGAAACACTTAAAACATTTGGCTATAACATCAACAACTATTACTACCATACATACATAAAGATCGAAAGAAAAAGAAATATCAGCCATCTAAACAATATTTTCAGCAGCATTTGAAGTGCCAGCAATCCTCTGATTAGTGGTGTGGCGAAGAGAGCTCAGAACAGAAGTAAAGCCACCGCCAGTATCCACCACAACATACTTGCAGAGAGGGCACAGCGCGTTGATCTTAAGCCACTTGTCCACGCACTCCGCGTGAAAAAAGTGGGCGCAAGGCAGCTCGCGCAGCTCATCATTCTCCGCATATCTCGCCAAGCAGATGCAGCACACCTGCAACAGGTTATTTGAGATTTATACACATACCACACATTTTTTATGTATTCACATATCATAAACCTAAAGTCTGATATTTGCATTTAGAACACTTAGGTAGTGTATTCCACTTTAAAAAAGTAAATGATACTGATAGTGATATTTTTGAAGTGATGTCAAATATTTGAGTGGTATTGAAAAGTTTAATATTTGAGTGGTATTTAAAAAAGTTTAAGATGAACCTCATTTGAGTCTATTAAAATCTGAAATATTCGGTAATTGAGCAGAATCATAGAGTTTGGATTACTATAGTCAAGTGGGAGAAGAAGTAGAAGTTGATCAACAAAAAATTTTCCAATTGAAGATCACGTTGAAGTTTGCTAGAAGACTAAAGATCCCATTTATGAGATCTCAAAATAGTGTTACAAGAGCTACTGATAACCGTTGTATGACAAAGTACTTGCATTCCATAATGATAGAGCATTTCCTTGGTGATATCTCAACTAATGTCCTAGCAAATGCCCTGGGTGTTGACAAACTAGGTCCAAAAGACATGACGGGCCGAAGTTTAAACGAGCGAGTCAGTCTTTTTTTAGTGGAATTGCAAGGCTAAAATGTTTGATTTTCAACCGTCATTATGCCTTTGGTTGATAATGGCCAAGGTAGGACATATGGACGACTGAAATTATATTACAAAATAAAGGCGAGCCAACCATCATCAATTCCTAATAATTTCAAAATATATTTAAGCTTGACTGAGATTTAAGATTATTATTTTGAATCTTCGTCTTCCAAACCTCTTTTAATTCTCGAGTCCTCATCATTTCTTCTTTATCATTGCTCTGTCGAAATAGAAACTAGAAAACATCCATCACCATTTAATGCTTAGGGCTAGAAGAAATAAATTTAGAGTACGTTTGTTGTAGCTATAGATTTTTGTATAAAACTATTGCGGGGGAGCGGTATATATATATATATTGAAAATTTGTACGGCCAAACACTTGGACAACCGAAAAAAAGGAAAAAGGAAAGAAACTAAAAGAAAATTGCGATCAAGAACACACAAGAATTTTATGTGGTTCGGTCCATAACACCTACATTTACGTGAGGGAAATCAATCATTAATCCACTAAGGCAATAAAACAAGATTTACATAGTTTTTCATTGAGAGATGAGCTCTCTAGTCATACTCTCTCTCTTGAACCAACTCGATACAAGATCTCCAAGATGGTCTCTTCAATTTCTTGAAGTATGTCATCTTCTTTCTCTAACCAGCTGTTTCATTCTTCTCTTAAAATCTTATCTACATGTATCCTCATTATTTAAAACTAATAAGGCATCCTCATGTAGACCAACCCACAAATCAGAAGCCTTCTTTCATTTTTTAACAACAGGTGATAGAATTAAAATTATGTCATTGTCTTAGTTTGTAATTGTGAGTCATCGTGATAATTCTCTACCTTGCCTACCAATTACAAACCTCCATACTAGATATTCCCTCCACCTAGCCCCGATGAGTCCTTAGCCCTTGGTTAAGTTCGCTAAGTCCAGACAGTACCTGAACTTAGTTGTAGGTAACGCCTTGATGAGCATATCAGTTTCATATTGAACAACATTAGAGAAGTTACCAATCACAGTTCTTACAATTAGAAAACATGATTTTTTTTCCTAACTCTTTCTATGACGATAAAAGAACCTTTAGTACAGTCATTTTCCGCCTTAAAAGAAAAGCCGTTTGATTCTAACATACCTAAAGAAATCAGATTCCTTTTGAGTTCAGAAATGTATCTGACATGTCGCAGTATTCGTTCAGCTCCATCAAACATCCTTATCATCTGTTGTTAAAGAATAAAAGAAGGCTTCTGATTGGTAGAACGATCAACATGAGGATAGCTCATTAGTTATAAATAATGGGGATACATGTAGAGAGGGTTTTAAGAGAAGAAGAAAACAGTTGTTTAGAGAAAGAAGAGGATAGGCGTCAAGAAATTGAGGAGATTATCTTGGGGATCTTGTATCGAGTTGGTTCAAGAGAGAGAGTATGGCAAGAGATATCATCTCTCAATGAAAAGCTATGTAAACCTCGTTTTATTGCCTTAATGGATTGATGGTTGATTTCCCTCACGTGAATGTAGGTCCTATGGACCGAACCACATAAAATTTCAGTGTTCTTGATCGCAATTTTCTTCTTGAAGTCTCTTTTCTTTTTCCTTTTCTTCGGCTGGCAGGTGTTTGGCGGTGCAGGTTTTGTTCAAATTTTCCACTATATATATATATATATAGTGGAATGGTTGAACAATAGCTTTCTTATAGCAACTATATTTTAATAAATCTGTTTGTAAAAAATATCTTTCTTCCATAAAAATTCTAGAAAGCAGTAACAAAATAATAGAGAAATGACAGTGCGGTAGTAGTTTGAAAAACAAAACTGTGAAAAAACTATCCTAAACAGACCCCAAGCCATCTTATTAGGTGGCTGCTTCAATGTACACTTCTAAGATTTTCAATCTAGAGGCAACTTATACCGCATATATTTCTAAATCTTTGGTAGTGCAGGCCTAGACGGCCGCCCAACCTCTATCATCTACAATGCTATCATTGTTTCTGTGTTGGTGGAAGAACTTGATGCCCCAATCATTCCAATAGCAATTGTGGCAATAAGAAAATCGAGATTAAAGTTGATTAATTCACTATTAATTGGGTCAATAAGCCCCTGGTTTCATCATAATCAACCATAGAAACTACATTTTGCATGGGATATCATTGTAAGATCACAACATGTAACTACAATTTCAAAGATTCCCGAAATCCCTTGGCTGAAAAAGGGATGAGCATTGTTGATTAATCATCTAGAAAAGATTGTATTGACATTGTGCCAAATGCATTTGTTGAAATTGACTCAGAATGATCAGCTTGTTGAAGTAAGAACTTTCATCCGAACTGAAAGGACAAATGACACTTCATCTTCATCCAAATTTGATTAAAAATAATCAATAGATAAGATTTGTTTGAGGAAGAGAGAACGAGCAATTGCATCCATACCTAAGAAATTCTCTGATATCAAACTCCTCTATAGTTTGACTCTAAGGGCTTACTTGCGTTACATTTTTTACAATACATAATCTCTTTCGCAAAAAGTGGGCTCCTCCCTACCAAGCAGCTATTGAGTTGTCTCTTAAGCTGCAACTTTAATAGTTCCAAGAAGATTTCTCTATATAGAAAAGAGCAACACATTTGATCTTCTATACTCCAGGTATCTTATCCCCTTTGAGGGATCACATCAAATGTGATCGATATGGCAATAGCATGTTTTTAACATTGTTGTCAATATCCATTTTTCTCATGCAAGGCGTATGTTCCATTATGTGCGAAAGAAATTTAGTTGATGTTGTATTAAGGCACACGTCTTCTGTCAATCCGTATCATTCTGAAATTTCAGCAATGGTGTCACAATCTCTATTAAGATGGGACTTTTGAGTTTTATTAGGGAGGTTGCTGGAATAATAGTGCCCACTAGACAGTGCATGCACCCTACTAGCTTCGGCTTGCTCTATCAAAACCACCAAATCTTTTTGCAAAAGTCACACACAGGTTTCAAAATCAAATAATTTAGAACTCCTATTCCCTTGAAAGAAGCTTCTCTCTTTTTCCTTCTTTATGAGCAATATGGCCCAAAGGATTTGCTCTTTTATATTACAAGCCCAATTTTATTTATGGCCCAAGGATATGACAAATGATTGATATTTAACTACCTACTTACCCTAATGTATACATTCTTGAAGACAATTCAATGGCAAGTCATACTGTGGTGTGAACAAATAGCTACAGATGCACTTCACAAGGAATAACATGGTGTTGAAGAAAATATGAAATAAGATTTATAAATCAATCTGCCCGCTAAAGCAAAATTTTACTTGGACCTCGACTTATTTGGAAATGAAAACAATTGCGTCGAGATTTGACCTTGAAATCATTAAATTTTCTTTGAAATTAGTGATATATATAAAGAACTTATACCACGCTCATCTCAAAACATATCCAACAATTTTTAGGTCCATCCTAGCCAAACATTGTACAAGGTATCCCAGCATTTTTTTTATTATTTAAACAAGATAAATTAAAAAATTTTAAGCTGATTCTTTTAACTTATAGTTAATATAAATTGAAAGTTAAACTTAATATATGTGCGGAAAACTCACAGCATCTTCAGGAGAAACAATTCTCTCCTTGTCTGTTCCAGCCGTCAAAATTCCACCATCAAAGTTTCCCTCGTTAGTTTCACTTCGACCTAGATTTTGGGTTCTCTTTGATTTGAATTTGTATGTCGGCGGAAGAGCATTAATTAAGTCTAATGTGGCTCCTCTAGTAAGGGGAAGGTCCTCTCTAAAGCCCAAGACTGAAATTATGCAAGGCAAACAGCAGCAGATTGTTGCACACAGAATAAAAGGCATAGCATAGCCAATACAACTGACGGTAAGAAAAGCTATACACAGCCTGAAACATCAAGCATTTTTTTTTTGGTTAGAATGGAATAATTATATAATTTCAAATGATGTGGGAAATAATAATTATTCATATACCTGTACAAGTTGGGAGTATCTGCTGCAGAAGAATGCCCTCCAAAAACCCAAACATTACCAACAACAAACCAAACAGCAAAGAAACACTCCAAAGCCATTTTGAAATGATCAACTAATGTGTTTATCCTGTGAAGTACAAACAAAATCTTTTGGATTAATTTGTCTTTAAAGCTAATGCAGAGTTACAAATTAGGACTAGATTGAAATAAGCTAGTTGAATTAAGAAGCCTCAAGATCAAAACAGTGTGATCCTAAAGATAGTTCCAATCTGGCATTGTTATGTTTTCTTTCACACTCCATTTCTTTATCATCTAGATCTTTTTTAGTGTGAAAATGTAAAATCATTTGGTCTTGAAATTGTGTGAACTTCAGGATTACTAACTTAAAAGGCTAAATCAAAAGACACAAAGGAATTTAATTGTCCATAAAGCAATGCAGATAATGCAGCTAACCATCTCTTTTATTTTGTACCTACAGAAGCTAAGCTCCTACAAACTACTGCCTATAATTGAGTTTCACACAAATGTACGCATGGATAAAAACACATGAATGGTTTTTATTTTTAAAAAATTCTAGTTTTAGTCGAGGCAACCAAATAAAAAACTCCAACTATGATTGCCTTATTTGAAGCCTGGTTTTAACAAACTTCAAGGATCTAATCAAGACTTCTCAGTTGGTACAATCGACCTTTAAAATTAAACCAAACAAGCACCACTCATTTGTTCATATAATAACTAACATTCATAAAGTAAAGCAAGAAAAATCGAGTTATCATGGCCTACTCGTCCACAAAAAAAGGAAAAAAAGTAAATATGATTAAGATGTATAAATCATAATCAAAACTTCCAATTTCTCAAACATTTAGGAGAGGCTGGGATACCATTAACAGAATAATCACAACAATATAAAGAAGGAACAAAAATTCAGCGTCTAACATGCGAACTTTCCATTGAAATCGAACAAGATGTTTATTAACCTTTCACATAAATACCACGATGCAGCATAAAGCTTATATGCCCTGATTTTATTCCATTTTTCTCCACTGAACCGGTGTTTCCAAAAAAAGCTATATACACTGGTTCTGAAAATCATCCCACAAAGACGCTAAATGAATAATGCCAAAGGATTTGATAAAGAACAGTTAGAGATGCAAACTAGATGTTCATAAAGTCATCATATAGCTATCAATACCTTGAATTAGTAACCACAAAATTTTGACTCCAACGTGAAAAAGTAGTGGCACCACGGCTACCACTTCTGTCCATAGCTTGTGCCAAAGAACCATCAACATACGCTATAGATTCCGTATTATTATTCCGAGAAGAGTACTGATGTGATTGTGCTGATTCTTGGCCAGATCCTTGACTATTTCGATGGATGTAGCGCCACCAGAGATGAGGAAGGATAGCAATACAGCCAGCAGTATAACCGATGATCCAAGCAAACAATGGAGTTCGAGGATGCTCATGTCTGGACAAAGATAAAACCACAACAGCTGCCATAATCTGACTCACATTGGCAACCAATTCGACTGAAATCCACAAACCAGAATTGAGAGGATTTCTACGATGTTGGCTGAAAATTTCGCTTCTTCCTCTACGAGTCCTAGAGGACGCAGATAGCTGAGAGGCAGTAGCTTGGCTGTTGATTGAGGGCCTGTCTTCACTGTGCATTTCATGAGAGTCAATATCCTCATGTTGAGTGACTGATGTTGAAGTATAACCACCAGTTGTTACATCAATAACATGATTGGGCTCAAGTTCGTTATAATCAACTGAATGCTCCATCAAAGGATCTCGGTCTGAGTTACCTTCTCCTTGTGCATCCAGGCAGGGAGCAGCCATCAAAGTAGACTAACAGACTTGGAAGAAAAGTTAGCATAGAAAGAGAGAAATATGCCCACTTCCAACAGCCTTAACACTAAACAGGAAACTTTGAGAGAAAGTAATTGCAATCCCTACCATTATCTCGCTTAGAACATCAGATTGAGAGACAACTAATTTCACAGCCAAAAGTACCAAGATAATGCACAGCAGAATACAATGTCTTCCATGCAATTATTAATAACCAAAAATTGCATATATTTCTTTTCTAACATGATGAAGTTTGCAGGGAAATAATGCACCTACAAATAAAAAGAATAGCAGTTAAGCAACAGGAAATATGGACCAAAACAACATCAGACTTAAATATGACACTTGCACACATACAGATGAGTTCTTAATGATGAGAAATCCGAAGTGAGAGAGCACAAAAGTATAGACAACAAAAGATGCTAAGGGTGGCATGAATTGTGAACTATGTAGATAGATAACTGAGCCATATAAATAAAAAAATAAACCAAATTTCTCAGTTCCATAGCTGTCATATAGAATTAAAAAGATGAATAAGCAAATCACTCTTTGAAACCTTATAATATTGTGTCCTTAGAGTGACCCTGAGCAGCTATAGAAAACTTTACAGTAGTAAACTTTACAGTTATAATTTCCATTCTAACTCGCTTTAAAAGTATATAAACAAAACTATGGAGATTCATCGAAAGGCTAATGCAAGATAGAAGGGAACGCAAGTTTAACAATCCCAGGAGAAATTCAATGGAGATTAAAAGGTGGAAATCAACCATTTAATGACACATACTTGAGGAACTGAACGATATATATCAAGGATTAATCATTTTACAAAAAGAGGTATATCTAGCTCTCTTCAAATCAAAATACTTTACTAATGAAGATTGATTCCTTCAAAATATTGCATAAGATTATCACAATTGGCAAGTTGAAAGTTTTATCAAATATGTACTAGAAACATTAAGCAATAAATAAGATTCAATGAATGAGAAAGTCTTTCAATAATACGATGTTCGACAACACATCCGTAGTAATGCATATCAATGAGTTCAATTTAATCACAAGTTTGTGAAATTTGATGGATATCAACTTCAAAGAGGATGTTTGTGCATTGAGCTTATTATTATTACATTTTAAAAGCTTTTTTAAACTACAATAGTATCAAGGGTCCGTATGAGCCAACAAAGTCAAAACCCAATTATATCCATGACAAGATCTTTAATGAGAATATTAAAACTATGAATTAGATGAAGGATCTAGGTCAACTAGTTCGAATCTTAAAAGCCAATCAAATTGCTAAAAAAAATTCCAATTCTTCTCATAATAATGTCAGAGAAATTTTCATATAATTATAATGATATACTTTTAATTCATATTCATGCGAAGAAATCTTTATTTGAAATATTCTTTATTATTTTTGTAAAAGAAATAAGCATTGCAAAATAAAATTGAATGGTTTTTTCATTTTATAAAAACAAATTAAAGCCGTTATCATAAAAGAAAATCCACCTCCTAAGAAAGGAAACAAAAATCAGAATTAGTCTTTCATAGCAAAATACATGGAGAACAGTTTGGTTGACCGCATGATGCAGCTCAAAGTTAGAGAGCAGACAACATAATAAAGGGAAAATATGAATTAGAAAAACGAAATTAAGCACACTACACCCATTCCTTTTCCTATTATTTAGCATTAAGTAATAATCTACAATGTTAATTAAAAAATAAATTATATTTAGTTAAATTCAAAAAATCTTATATAAAATAATATCTTAATTAATCAAATTTAATCATACATACTAGTAATTAAAGGCTGATTGACTTTTTTTATTAATTAGTAAATTCTAAATTCAATTAAAAACACTAATATCTATTTAGTTGAATCAAACTATAAACAATGTCGATATTAATTAAGTAATTATTTAAATAAACTTATTCCAAATATTAAAACAATTTAAAGATTAGATTAACATCTCAAATTTAATTAATAACCATTAATTTTAATAATTCAAATTTTAACAAATTTAAGAAAAAGATAAAAATAAAAACAACAGCAACAAGCCTCTCCTTCGCTTCGGCCATGACAAAGGAAGTCGCGACCGGAACGACCTAGAGAAGCCATTGATTGGATCAGCGACCGAAGGGCGTGCAAAGGAGAAGAAAGATTTTGACGAAGAAGAATCAAAGGTAACTCTGTCTTTCCCCTAACTCCCTTCGCTCGGATTTACTGAATTCGGGATGTAAGGCTAAACAGATGAGAAACCGGCTTTAACATTCTGTATGATTTAAAGTTGTTATTTTTGCTATATGCAGGATTTAGGTTAAATCTTCCTACCAAACAGACCGTATAAATGCTCAGAAACTACTCAACAAGATCGGATCGGACAGCAGAAAGGTTCTTGAACGGCTTACGAGTAAAACCAAAGACCTCGCCTACCACCCAAAACCAGTTGCACACTTGACAAATCCAAGCAAATGATGAAATAGGCTAAAGTTAATTCACAATTTGCAGGGAATCTCGACTTTACTTTACACATTTAAACCAACTAGAATTGTAACATTCTACAAGGAAAAGAAAAACATAGCAGTAGTAAGTGATTGTCGTTTATTTGAGAGCAAGACGAGGATAGTTGGAGCTGTGTCAGAAAGAGAAGCAAGCTTACCGAGATGATTAGCCTATTTCTCCATTAACGGGAGATCTTCTACCTGCCATATGGCGCAGCGACTGCCAAAATTTCTTTTGGGGCTCCAATTCTTCGTCACCCTCCACTCGCCCTACCCCTAGCAGCTTCTTGAGTGAGCCGCTTTGTAATGGGGACCGAGCTAAACGAAACGGTAGATTTGGAATTTCGCTTTTCTAAGCTGTAGGTCTCATGTCCCGAGTCTGTGCGGGGTTTAGGGTTGGTTTTGGTCTGAATGTTACGTGCATGATCATAATTCAATATTCTTATTACATGTGTTCGAAGTTTTGATTCGAATTCAATTTACGTTACTTCAGAATACGTCCAATCAGAACCAAGTCCTTTTCTTTCTCTTTTTCTTGTATTTCTTTTAAAGGGCACAACTCTTAATTGTTTGGCGTCGCTGCAAATCGAACGCACACCTCACAAATGGGATATAGGTCTTAGACCATGGGATTGCATGTTCTTTTGGTGATAGCTGGTTGTAAGGGTCGATTTCGATTGTTATGGAGGAAATAGTTCGCATATTATAAATGGTGGTTGTAGCCGTATAGGTCGTGATTTTAAGTCGTGATAACAGTTGCTCTTGTGGGATGGTTGTTTCACAAGCGTCAGTTGGCTATAGAGGTCGTAATAGGAAGTTGCTCAAGTTATGAGACACATTGACCATAATTAGTCACGTGGAAACAGTATTGAGCTTTGATGACGTCTGTACACTGTAGGGGCCTAAATGAGGAGTTGCACGAGTTGTGTACCACGTTGCCTATAGTTGGTCGTAAAACAAAGTGGTGAGATATGAAGACGTCCATAGGCTCCTGAGGAGAAGTCAAGAGCTGTACGAGCTGTGGAACACTTAGGTCGTAGTTGATCACATAAATCGCAGTGATGTGTTGTGATGACTTTTATAAGCTGCAGCAGGTGAAGTCAAGTGCTACACAAGTTGTGAACCAAGCAAGTCGTAGTTGGTCATGTAGGCCATAATAGTGAGATGTGATGATGTCTGTAGGTCGTAGAGGCCGAAGTCGGGAGCTGCCCAAGCTGTAACCACTTAAGTTGTAGTTAGTTACGTAGGTCATAGGGATAAACCATGATAATATTTATAGATTGTAGAGGCCAAAGTCGAGAGTCGCACGAGCTGTGAAACAAGTAGGTTGTGGTTTGTCACGAAGGTTATTATGGTGAGTTGTAATGTCATTTGTAGGCCGCGGAAGCAAGAGTCGGGAGTTGCACGAGTTGTAAATCAAGTAGTTCGTAGTTTGTCAAGTAAGTCGTAGTGGTGAACTGTGATGACGTTAGTAGTCCACAAAGGACAGAGTCGGGAGCTGCACTGATTGTGAACCAAGTGGGATCTAGTTAGTCATGTATGTTGTAGTGGTGAGCTGTGATGATGTCCTTAGGTTGCAGAGATAGAAGTGGAGTTTTGCACTGTTTGTGAATCACATAGGTCATGATTTGTCATGTAGGTTTATGTGGTGGGCTGCAAGGAGAGAGCTTTAGAATTCCGAAGAAAGTTACTGCCTTCGGGGTGCCTTGTCACCCCGTCTTCGAGAGGTGTCGTTGCATCTTATATGGGGTGTGATGTTACACCATCATCAATTGTGTTGTGTCATTGCACCGTATTCGGGTGCATTGTTTCAATGTCTTCAGGAGGCGACTTCAAGAGTGGGAGGTATATTTTGGATCTGTGTTGCAAAAGCAATGATAAACTTCAACTTCTCCTCCAATTAAGCTTTAGTCTTCTTCTAGCTCGGGGTCCCCCCTTCTCAAGAAGGAGGTATGACTCTATTTATAGAGTTTGGGAGAGGCCACTCTGCAGATAAAGAATGAATGCAGGCCACTCCATCAGATGACCTAGAGAGATATCTTCAATTGAAAAAATTTCATTAAGCATTTGAGTGCCTTAATGATGTCATAATTGAACAATATTGGGCTCGTTTGATTCATCTCTCCAAGACACTCGATTTGACTATAAGCCTATTAGATTCAAAATCCTTTTAGCCTTCCAATTATGTACTGAAACTTTCAAATCTAGTTTAATTGCTTGATCTGAGCTTGATTTGACTCAGATTAGGCCAATTTTAGTACAATTGGGTCTATCTTGTTGAGCCAGCCAGTTCGGATGCATCCTTGTTGAAATCAAAGTTGTGGGTGACTTTTGATCAAAATTTGATTGTTTCTTGCTAAAAAATTATCTCAAGATTTTTTTCATTCCTCGAGATTCTCTTAAGATGTGAAATTTTGTTGCATATCAGTTGTCACTTATTTTTGAGCGAGTCCAACTTTTTCGTTTGAAAATACCAAATTCTTCTTGGTACATCAACAAAAGATGCGTTAGGCATACCGAACCACCCTTCAGGAAAATAGAATCTTTCTCCCAATACTTCTATCTAAAATAGCCTACAGCCTCATTTATAAATAACAAAGTCCATTCTTATTTACAAGTTTTCCCTCCAAAAAAATAAAACTTCAGAAAATATGAGAAATATAAAAAAATTGAAATATAACAACTGAAAAGGACACTAGAACAACAAACACTTTAAGCTTAAAAGATAACATCATACATCCACGACCACTTAGAAATAAGAAAATCCACTTAAACTTAACAAAAAAAGCTACATATAGGATTACATATATTTCAAAATAAAATATACAAACAACTATATTATTTTGTCTTATTAATAGAAAATGCGGTCACTTATTATGGAATACAAGATATAGACGTGGAGAACAAGATACTGATATAGCTCTAATTATACATGTTTTTCTCTATCAAAAGAGTCTAAATGTGAACTATTTTTTGCTATGATCAAATGCTTCTTCTCTTGATGGAATTATAAATAGAAAATTTTTTTCTTGATGATATCCCTCTTTTTTTTCTTCCTCTTCTTCTATTCTCCTTGTTACTTATGGTCGTGAGATGCTTTTATATAATGTTTGAACAACATATAGGTTGCAAGCTTGAATTTAATTAAAATTGTGTTTTGTTGCAACCATCTTAAAAGACTGAAGTTGTTAATGAATTAATCTTGCACTAAATTAGCCACTTTCTTGAAAAATTAACTATAAATTGAGTTATGGCAACTATCTTGAAAAATTAAGTACACATGTATAAATCCCAACTTAAAATAATTTCTTACTTAAAGTAAATTTTTTTAATGCACTAGCTTAATTATTATGTTTAATCACATCTCTACGTCGAACTTTCATGTTATTGTTCACAGGGCTCAATTAAGGCTTTCTAATATCCTTAGTTTATAAAAGGCAAACTTATCAAATTTATCTTGTTACTATGATTTTTGTTTATCCTATTGTGTCAAAAGGTCGTTTATAAAATCTTCCTCATTACAAATTTTAATACTATTTCCTTATTACAAATTTTGTTTCTATTTTTTCATAATCTTTACTATTATATTTCTTTATAACTCTCACCTTTGAAACTTAATATCATAAACTTAAGACCACTTTTGCTTAAATGAGCTTCCATTATAGTTATCGAATCCAACACATCAACAAAATTATGTCGTATAATATAAATTATTGAGTCATTAATTTTGTTTGCCTTCAAAATAGCCAATGCACCTTATGCACTTTGAAATTTTTAGCATTATTAGAGAATCTTTGTTCTATTACACTAAAAACACTTGTAGATGTTAGTTTTTTTTTTTT